CATATGCTTATTTTAAGACTTGAATGTCTGAAACCCTTGCGTGAAATTTTGTGGTGTACTGCAGGACTTTAGTTTGACACATTTGCTTTAAATGTTCATCCAGTGCATGTTAGCTATGGAAGAAATCTCTTCTGTTATGATTTCTGTCCAAGTAAAAGTAAGAAAAAGAATTGCAGCTCAGCCTTAGGTAATGTAAGGCTTCAGAATCCCAAACTCTGAATGGGGAACAATATTACCAGGTTTTTGGTTTTCTGCTTCTGTCCACAATGTGCTGATGAGTGAAGAAGATACATATAAAGGGAGTTTTTTATGAACAGATTGTACATGATACCTACTTTACTATTTGTATGTAATTTCCTCACTTCTGACTAGCACTGCATTGCATTAGCCTTCCCTGACCTTTAAACAGAATGGGAAAAAAGTGGGGGGCACCATCATTTACATTAGAATTGCATGAAGATTTTTCTTTGCGGCCAGAATGAGAAAGTTGAATGACTGCATTGACCAAACCGCTTCACTGGGCGTATAAATTATTGAGTTATGAAAAAGGATAGGTGGCCGTGACAAAATGATGAATAGTTTAAAAGCTGTGTAAAAAATGACATCAAGGTTTGAATTATTTAAATGATGTCAGTAGCAATGTGTCACCTGATCCAGGAGTGATATAGTCTGACTCATTTCATGGGCTGGGTCCTCATGAGCACGTATCCCAGCTGGGCCATGTGGGCCACGTCCTCCCTGCTTAAAACTGCTGTGAAATGAGACGGTCTACCCTTCGCCTGACGTCGGCTTTATTGTAAGTTTGCGTGACCCTGTTACCATAGTGATCAGTTTTATATCTATCAGATTTAAAATGTGTTGGGACGTGTATTCACACGTCTTTTTACTGGAAGAATAACTTCACAGTCAAAATGTTACACGTAAATAAATTTTAAAAAATGTTAAAAATTTGGGTTTAGCTCCAGTATCAGCACTAGTTGCATTTTTTTTTATTTAACATCTTATTGCAGCATAAATTTCAACAGCTAAATTTCTAAACTTACTTTTAAAAACAAATACTTGGGTCTGTGGTAAATTTCCAAACTATGCTGGCTCATTAAATAAATAAAAACACCATCTTCGTTTTTCTGTTTATTTTCCTGCCCGTGCATTGAATCCTGGGATATCCTCAGTCAGTGAGGATACACAGATGCAATGAGGTATATTTACTAGAGAGGCTACACCCGTCGAGGCTGGGGCCAAGATATGCTAAGCGCGACACCATCTTGAAACAGTCTACTTAAANCACACAGATAGTTGAAAGAAAAAGTTTATTTTACCATATTATTTTAA